TCCTCTCAATATTTAAAAGTACTTATTTAAACATAATTCTTATATCCATTTAAGATCAATAAATCTCGTTTAGACTAAGACTCTATTTTGGTTATTGTGTTTTTTACGGTTTCTGCTTTATCTATTTTCTTCTTCCTCCCTCCTCTTCCCTCTTTGGTAGAAACATTTATTTCTAGAGGTGAATAGGGGGTCCTTGACTGTGTTGTGGGGCCTTGGAATCTAAATTTTCATCTTACTAAATGTAGAGGTTTGCATCAATTTCTGTAGAAAATGTGTATTGTGCATTCTAGTTTTGTTTGACAAAGCATTATTTGATTTACAAACCACTATTGTGATTTACAGATCTGTTCTGTTTGGCTTAGGGGGTGGGGAGTAGTTCTTGATTTTTATCCTTTCTCTTACTTACCTTCCTTATTTTTTTCCCCCTTTTATATAGCACTGATCAAGTCTATTACTATTTTGTCTGTTTCTGGGGATAATGTTTTCTGGATTTTTATTGCCTTTGAAATATTCTTTCCTTCATATATTTTTTTTTTTTTTCTTTCTCATGATTAAAATGTTTAAAAAAAAAAAAGTGTTTTTTTTTTAAATAATCCTCAATGTCACTTTGGTATTTCCTGTGCTTTGTCTTTAAAGGGACGCTATAGTCACCTGAATAACTTTAGCTTAATAAAGCAGTTTTGGTGTATAGAACATGCCCCTGCAGCCTCACCGCTCAATCCTCTGCCATTTAGGAGTTAAATCCCTTTGTTTATGAACCCTAGTCACACCTCCCTGCATGTGACTTGCACAGCCTTCCATAAACACTTCCTGTAAAGAGAACCCTATTTAGGCTTTCTTTATTGCAAGTTCTGTTTAATTAAGATTTCCTTATCCCCTGCTAAGTTAATAGCTTGCAAGAGCCTCCTGTATGTGATTAAAGTTCAATTTAGAGATTGAGATAAAATTATTTAAAGTAAATTGCATCTGTTTGAATGTTAAACTGTTTTGTTTTATGCAGGCTCTGTCAATCATAGCCGGGGAGGTGAGGCCAGGGCTGCATAAACAGAAACAAAGTGATTTAACTCCTAAATGACAGTGAATTGAGCAGTGAAATTGCAGGGGAATGATCTATACCCTAAAACTGCTTTTATTTAGCTAAAGTAATTTAGGTGACTATATTGTTCCTTTAAAATATATCCTATCCTATTCCTGGTAATTTTAAACTATTGTACCCACAAATAGGTCTAACTTTTTTTTTATACCCTTAATGGCCCAACCTAAGTTTTCTAAGGTAGACTTTGTCTATTAAATAATTTTTATCAAAGTGACAGTGACTAATGCATTTTCAAATTTTGCAATGGAGTCTCTCTGACTGTATGCACCAGCTGAATAACAAGGCTTGTTAATTTGCATATTCAGGTAGATTTACATATTGCTAATACTGGAGGCAGGAGATTGTGTTGTCCTCCCCACCACTTTGTAAATGTCAGTCTTTTACAAGTTCCTGTATGTTGTTGGATATGATTTGGTTATTGGTATTTTGTTTGTCAAAATCTAAATGTAATGAGCATATGGGCTAGTCCCAAGTAAAGTGTTCCTTTTAAGAACTGTCCTGTGGATTTTAAGGGATCCCAGTAAGTCTCGGGACCTACTGTCTTGCTGCACAATCACTCTAGCCGGGTACAATTTAAAGTGTTACGCCTGAGGTCTGCAAGTGTTTGTAAACACAGAAGCAATTACTATGAGCAGAGACATTGTTACCTGCTTGGCAAAAGAACTGAAGAGGCAAAGGGGACAATACATATCTTAAGAGCTGTAGTCTGGTTCAAGAATGACCCCCGTCAAGCTTTGGTGACTATGACTTAAATGTTCCAGGCTCCCTCCCCAGTGGCTAGGAAGCAGATTGGGCAGAAGTACTTGGTCTAAATACAGGAGCTACATCGCAGTGTTTACCACTCAAATGCAAGTTTAATTAAATTGTACCGTAGTTGAATGTAGTGGCAGATGCGTTAAACTGATCATTTTCCTTTTATATTTATCTGAAGCTGAGGGATTATTATTTTTTTTTTTTTTGGTTTCCTATCATACAAAACTGCTGTACTAGATTTGTAAATTGTCTAACAGCTTAAGTGTACATGGTTTATGTATACAAGTTATTTCAGACTTCTCCTCAGGAATTGACTGGATTTGAAGTGGCGGCACTTAACTCTTTCCCTCAAAATAATGGACTTGCGTTTTTTTGTTTTTTTTTTAAATTCAATTTTTATTCAACTTTGTGAAATAGTCTCCCAAGACTTTTTTTTTTTGTTTTTTTTTTACTTTTACATATATTTTGCAAGCATATGTAGCATCCCGACCACTGTGCCCTAAGCATAGACACTGAATTGCATAGCTAACTGTCATGGCACCTTCTCCTATCCTTCCTCCCAGCTGGTATTGCCCCAATTTTTAGATGCTTGGTATCACTTAACTTGGTATGTAGAAGACGGGCCACACAATGTGCCAGTTGTCGCCCCATCCAGCCTTAATGATGTAGATTGTGACACAGTATGAAATGCTTATTTTTGCCATTACACTAGAAAATTGTTTTAGTAGAAATCTTTTTTCCTCTGTACAAGTATGTTGACAAATATTGGTCTAAAACTTGTATTCCTCAACCATTAACATTAATTTGAGTTTAACTTATTTATTTTTTAGTATATTGCTTTTGCTAGCAGGTCCCTTTATTTAAGCCGGCCAATTTCAGTTACGTTGTCCCACTAAGTGTTTGAGGTTTTTTTTTTCCTTTAACATTAGTGGGAAATATAAATACTGGTTATATTAATAAAATAAAAAAATAAAATTTATTGATATATATGCTTTTGACTGCATTAGTCATATAGCCCTGTAACGGCACCTCCGGGTATACAAGGAGTTAATGCCGTTTAGGATGTTCCCTTCCCAAACGTGAAGGCAGCTAACTAACACTCCAACCAGCCGAACAGTAAATCCATACAAATCAATATCTTCCTCGCCCCCCCAAAGACAAGACCAAGCTTCATATTGAGGGTCAACAAAGATCTGGTTTAATAGGGCTACCTGCCTGGTATTTATGCAGGTCTTCCACCAGGTGGACACTCCCCTAGGGGAACTGGTGGAAAACTGGGACAATATTACAGTAGCGAATCACAGTATTAGACATAAACCCTTTAGCTGTGAAGAACCCTCCTATCTATCCTGGAGATAATTGGGAAGTAATTCAGTTATCTCCCAGGATAGAGGCAAAACTCAATTTTACACGTGGCAGTAAAAACACTTAATATATTAACATGAAAACTACTGAATGCACTAGGTACAATTAATGTATCCCCAGATAGCTTAGATCTGAGTGCACATTGTTACCGAATGGCGCTCAGATCACATGCTTACAGTTCAATCACCATGGAGCCAAAGTCTTTCACATAGTCTTTCGTTATACGAATGGGCTCCATGGCATAGCTATCTGGGGTAAGTCCATTCGTGCAGAAAGTACCGAATGGGCCGGCGTTCGTATGTTGGATGAACAGAAGAAGGGAGGTCGGCGGCTTCAGCGGTGTTCGTGAGAAATGGTCTGTTTTTAGTTCCATGAAATCGTCGACTAACACCGCTGGGCATTCGTACATCCAAGATAGCCGCCGCCTCGTGGTCGGCATACGAACGACGACCACCCAGTTGGCATTCGACAATTAGGAAGTGTCTGCGGTTAACCACAACATTCTGATGAGGCCAAGAGTTTAATAAGCAGCACACTTCCATGCTGGGTTGGCCAGCCGTTCGGCAGTTGTTTAGTAAAAGCACTAATAAACGTAGGGGCTGCACGGACAGGGGAAATAGCTGAACAAACAGACGAATGGATGGAAAATAAAAGTAATTCAGACAGGTTTGTCAAAAGCCCTTTTTTGGATTACTCCTAGGAACAGCAAGTCTGAATTTGCCCTTGTCAATAACCTCCATCATGAGACTTGCTAAAATCATGGTAAAACGTTTGTAAAATAAAAGCTTAATTGGTCTAATGAGTTATTTTTATATTAGTAAATTAACCCCTTAATGCTGCAGGGTGTACTATGCCACTCTGTAGATCGCTGGCCCTCCCACACGCCATACTTTCCTGACATGGCAATCGGTGCTCCAATGCAGCAGGACAGCCTGATAATCCAGACAGTCCCCCTTTGGCTGATCAGTCCTTCCCAGACCATGTGACTGTGATGTAATCATGATCACGTGGATGGAATAGCCGCTGATTGTCGTGCAAGTATGGTAAGTAATTCTCATTATTAGAGTGCTATACGGTTTCATAGGCGAAATCACCAATCTTACTAATTTCAATGTGTAAAAATGAAAATGGGACAGCCCTATATTTGACCCTGTAACTTTCCAAAACCCTCATAAAACTTGTACACGGGGAAGGTACTGTTGAATTTGTGAGAAATCACTGAACAAAAATATGTATTCCAGTAAAAACTACGTGTTAGTTAAAATTCTTTTTTTTTTATTTTTTCATTTTTAATTAAACCTTTTGGATTATATTCATATTATATTGTTTTATATATACAAAAGGATAAGTGTGGGTGCATTTAATTTGAAAGAGGTGAACTACAGTTGAACAGACGGTGCAATTCAAGGTTTTGTTTTGATCAGGTTTTTTTTAATTAAAACTCCATGCAAAGGTCACCCAGACCTGAGTCCTTCCCTACTGTGACACTTAAGCTGTTTTAAGTCCTCAAACCACTTTATCTGGATTTTTTTTAATATTTCCTTTTTTTTTTTTTTTTTAACTTAAAACTCAATTTGAGTGTATAACCTCAGAGAACACTCCATAACAAAATACCAAGTTGCATGAACACGTGACTTATTCGAAAGAGGAAGTTCAAATTACTAGCTACTTGAGCATGTAATCTGAGCTGACTCAGTAACAATTGGACTAATTTCTGTGATAAGTACTGTAACTAGCTCCAATTTGAGTGCAAGACTTCCGAGCTGACTCAGTATAGCCTACAGTAGCTAGCAATACGTTCCTACCATGAGATGTGAATGAATAAACAGAGCACTCAACCACATGTAGCAAACTCCAGTCTGAGTGCACAACAAAACTGTCTGGGAAAATTCAACTCCTAATTACTGACAAGTGTTTAAATTTCAGTGCACTTTATTTTTTCCTTTCAGCCTAGTAAATAAACCTAGGTAAATTTCACGTAGAAAGCAGAATAGCTCAATAACTAGTATGTTTATGGGAAGTACAACTACAGAGCATGTTTAAATATTTAGGTTCACATTTAATACTGGATAGTAAAGCCACAGAACTTTATTTTATTTTGCGCATAGGATTGTGAAAGTAGGATGTGGACACAGATGGAACCATACAGTGTCCAAAACAAAGCACACCACCCACACAGCCTAACCAATCAATGCAGAGGGAAGGACTGATGGTTTTGTGAACCTTCCCTACTTGCCACCTTGCACAGAACACCATGAGTTGGAAGTGATGTCAACCCTGTCATTCAGAATGTTCAATTTCAAGGTATGAGACACAGGTTTTTAAGGCTGGATAACTCCTCCCACAACTACATGAATTATGGCCTGAACATGTGTATCTTCTACCCTAAGTGTTGTAGTCTGCCAGGGGTTGACATCTTCACTTAGGCAAACCATTTGTGACGTTTCGTTTTTTGTCCAGAATGCGTTTTCATCTTTGGTTTGGACTTTGTCTTGTAACACCATGCAGTAACTACTTGAAAATGTTGTCCTAGCAGGGGTTGTGGGTCCCTCATTGAAACAGTGATTCTTCCTTTTATCTCTCAACTGGGCAATTACTGACCAATTGAAAGAGGGGGTATTCCGGTTTGGCTGTGAGGAAGTGTTTCCAGTACCACTTGCATATTGCCATTGATAAAAACATTTTGGAAGACTACTCCTACAGAGTTTGAGGAAATGAAGGCTAGACTTGGCTGCCATGGAATGCTTGTCCTTGGCATTTTTCTTTGTAGCAGCTGTTGCATTGGCTATCTTTCTGGTCTAAGCGGCATCCAGACGGCGGCAATGGTCATGCGTCCACTGGGGAGTTCTGAAGCTGGGCAGCTGCATATGCTGTTCATTAGAACTCTAATTTTATTAAAGTCTCTATTCTTGTTGACAAGTTTACTTTATGTATGGTCTGAAATGGCCAAATCCTGTAAAAAAACCTCTTAAAAGGAAAAATTTGTATAAAACAAAATTAAATACTGTACTTGGCATTTGTCAAAGTATAACCATCCCCTGTTCCTTGTGTTACATAAATCATGTTTTAAAACGTTCACTTCCTAAAATGTTACACTTTTTTTAAATAAAACGAACGTTAAAGGTCTCCATGTTAACAATTCCAACCTTTCAAATGTTAAAATGTGTTTAAAAGCATACGAATACCTGCATTTTCTTCTCCATACCTGTGCACAGCCAGTTCTAAGAAACTTGACACTTTGTAAAATATATCATTAGCAATCATTGACCTATTGTGTATATATAATCTCTATCCCCATAAACTGACAAGGTTATTCACTAAATGGAGAATTCAAAGTCAAAATAGCCATTCTGGATAATGCTTTTTGTTAAGCTTCAGATAGCAGAGTCTAGGCTGTTATCTGTAAGTTGGTAATAAAATAAATATATATATATATATATATATATATTATATAATCTGTTTTACTTGTGTATGTACACAGAACTGTGCACTATATAAAGTTATGTCATTCTGTCAATTGTAGCATAACTGTATATTAATATAAATCTATTTCTAACTGGATGGCTGCCTACTTCCATAAACTACTTGACCAAAACTGAAATTCTGGGCTTTACTCGCTCAAGTGTTGCTGCTACTGCTGTTTCCCTCCAAGTCAACTGTGCGAACATCAGCTCCACCATGCAGGCTCGCTGCGTAGGTGTTCTTTGACTCAACCTCTCCTTAACGCCTCATGTTCAGTCTATTGCCAAATCCTGTCGTTTCATCTCAAAAACCTTGCACGCGTCCAACCCTACTTAACACCAGATGCGACTAAGGTGCTGGTCTATTCCACTGTCCTTTCTCACCTTGATTACTGTAATCGTCTTCTCAGTGGTCTTACGTGCACCCAACTTGCGCCGTTACAGTCCATAATGAATGCAGCAGCGAGGCTCATCTTCCGGTCTGTCCGTGCCTCACCCTTCTGTCAGTCCCTACATTGGCTTCCTGTAAGATATAGGGCTCAAATTAAAATTCTGGTTCTTGCTTTCAAATCTACATAATGCTGTTCCCACCTATCTATCCTCCCTAATATACAAGTATGTCCCATCTAGGCCCTTATGCTCTGAATACCTACGTCTATCAACTGTTTGTAATCCCACCTCTGGTCACCTTCAAGACTTCTCCAGGGCTGCACCGTTCCTATGGAACTCACTTCCCTCCTTTGTTAGTTGCTCATCCAGTCTCCACTCCTTCAAAAAAATCATAATAAACCCACTTCTTTATAAAAGCGTATCAATTAAACTGTTAATAGCTCCTGACTGACTACTCTTCTGCAACTGTCACTAGTCTAATACTATCCTTACCTTTTTGTGTCATTTTACCCCACTCCCTCTAGCATGTAAGCTCACTGAGCAGGGCTCTCAACCGCTTTGTTCCTGTGTCCAACTTGTCTGGTTACAACTACATGTCTGTTCGTCCACCCATTGTAAAGCACTGCGGAATTTAATGGCACTATATAAATAACATACACTGTGACGGAGTCCTAATTTGAGAACATAGGAATACAATGGTACACTGATAGCACTAAAACCACCTGCCTCATTGTGTACATTTCCCTTGTGCAACCAAACTCTATTTTGCATATGATTTTGATTCGAGGTTAAGTGCAGTCTTTCTAAAGGAGTATTTGCAGCTTGCCTTCATAAATTTCTTATTTTTCAGAAAGTCTAAAGGGTTCAGGACCCACTTACTATTGCTGATATACAATGTATGTTGCATTGATATTCGTTTGGAAACCTTTTGTGATGTAATGGACACTTAAAAGACAAGTTAAAGGGCATATGGGGGCTTTCCCGGGCCATGATTTTGTCAGCAATGGTGCTGGATTAGAGACAAGTTTAATATACAGATTAAAGAACTGCATGCACATAAACTGTGTTTTTAAATGTTGCAAAGCTACTTAAAACTGCCTCTTGGCAAACAAACTGTGATCCAGTTCCACCATATGGCCATGTGTTTAGCCCACTACTACTTCAGTGTCACTATCTGTGGGTCCCACACGAATTCCAACGTGGGAGACAATGCTAGTGCTAAATCAGTTAAAGGGTATTTAAATCCGTTGTAAAAGCATGGACTATATGCAATACAAAACTGTGTTAAACACAATGCAAAAAATGCAGTGTCAAAACAAAGTGCTGGTGCTGTTGTATGGCCTCACAATGCACATCATATTTTACTCCTATATATCAAATATTTATAAAATTAAAATCTCTTGTTTTCAAGTATGTCCTGGGTCCACAAGTCATTGCATTGTTACATTAGGTTACAATAAAATGCAAAAACAAAATTAAATGCACAATATATACAAAATTTAACATAGAACAGGTAGGAAATATATAATCAACCATGACAGGTGCATTCTGTTTTGAGGTATATTGAGAGGGATCTCTTAAAGGACTTTAGACTTAGGGAAAATTTGAAATTGTGCGGGAGGTCGTTCCACAATTGCGGTGCTCTGTAGGAGGAGGATCGGGCCGCTTTCTTTTTGTATTGAGGTAGACTAAAAATGCTGGTACTAGATCGGAGGTTATAGGGAACAGCCGAGGAGAGCATTCTGCTCAGGTAGAGTGGGAGCGTCCCAGAAAAGCTCTTAAACACAAGGCTGGAAAGAAGGGTGCGTCTGGATTCCAGCGACAGCCAATTTTGTTCTTTAGCATGTCATAATGGTGGGTCCTGTAGCACAAATCGTCAGAACGAGTTATACAATGTATTGAGTTTATTAATGTGGGATTGCGATGCAGATACATTTACTGTTCAATCTTTTTCTTTACTTACAGGGCACCTAGTTTTGGATAAAGTTTAGATGCAAGCTTTTCTATGTGGAGGCCAAAAGATAGATTGGGGTCTAACATCATACCCAGGTATTTGAAAGAGTGGACTGCGGTCAGTGTGCTATTTGACTTGGTGTTGATGGATAGGTGGGATTTATGTAACTTGGGTACTGTTCCAAAGATCATTGTGACAGTTTTGTCAGTGTTTACGAAGAGTTTGTTTTTTGCGATCCACTTTTCTACCTCTGTAAACTGGTCTTGGAGCACAACCTCAAGCTGCGGTAGATCGGATTTGCTCGTATAGATTACGGTCATCTGCATACATGTGTACATTTGAGGATTTGCAGATCATTGTATAAATAATGTAAATAGTAGGGAGCCGAGAATGGAACCTTGAACACCACACATGACTGGGAGAGGGAGGGAGTTGCTGTCAGAAATGGACGCATATTGCGAGTGATCCAATACATACGATCAAAACCAGGTTAGCGAACGATCACCAATACCTGAGTTTTTGAGTTTGTGCAGTAGGATTTCGTGGTCTACTGTGTCAAAGGCCTTTGCAAAGTCAAGGAAAATAACTCCAGTTAGGTCTCCTTGTTCCATGCCAGTTTGGATGTCATTGCAAACTTTTCAGAGGGCAGTTGTAGTGGAGTGATTTCTGGCAAAAGCCCGATTGATCAGGGGTCAGGAAGTTTGATTGTTAGTAGTACTCACATAGTTGCGTATGTACACATTTTTCTATGATTTTTGATACCGGGAGCAATGATATTGGGCGATAGTTAGAAACCAAAGTAGTGTCACCACTTTTATGGATAGGCACTACTCTCGCAGTCTTACAAAGTTTTGGGTTTGTATCCAGACACTAAGGATTCGTTATTTAGGGTTGCAACGGGTTTAGCAATTGCTTGCGCACTGAACTTCAACAGCATTGCTGGGATTTGAACAGGTCCATATCACGGCAGTAGAGCATCCAACAAAATAATTGTTAAAGGCATTTGCAACATCTAAGGAAAGTTGCAGGGTTTGGTTATCCACTTTGACTGTGGAGGGTTGGGAGTGGATTGGGGGAGTTTGTCATTTATTTATGACTTTCCAAAAGTTTCTAGGGTTTCATAGGTTATTCAGATTTTCACAAATATTGGGCCTAGGCCAATTGGCTTTTTTTTTTTTTTTGTGCATATATTTTGCCACTGTCTATCTGTACAGTGATCATTCATAGAGCCA